TGATTCTTCAATAATCTTTATTGTTTTTTTACCTTTGACCATGAACAGGACGTGCACACAGTACAGCAATTCCTTTACATGCATTGGAGTAACGACATGGATACAGTAGTGTTACTACTGTAGTTTTAGTTTAAGATTGGAGCATGAAGGATTCTTTTATAACCTCCATGATCATACTTGGGAAAGAATTCCTTTTGCACCTAACTCTATCCCTGCTTCCAAATTTAATTGTATATGCCCCCTTTTAGGACACTTATAGCTATTTAGAGGGGGCATGTACAATAGTTATGTATGTTATGTGACCTAGCTTTTGTCAATGAGATGTATGGTCTCTTACAATGCAAGAACCCAAAGAAGGAAATTGCTAGGTGCCGATTTTTGATAACAATTGAAAAATTTGAGAGTTTGCCAGCAGATCATGTTTCAGAAACGGTTGGGTTCAAAAGTAGTTTTTTTGTTTTATTTACTATTGTTGACTATGACAATGTTTGGACAATTTTGGAATTACTTTCATTTTTTTAGTCGAATATTCTATTCTACTTGCAATCAGGATTTGGACACTCATCTTAAGTGATTTAATTTAATTAATTGACTTGTACTCGTTTGATGCCATCAGCAAAATCTTCATATCAGGAAAATTCACCAGATCGGTAGACAGATTTGCAGTTTATGAGGTCTGTGAGCATTTTGAACAGCTCAGAAATTGTTTCTTGAGAACAATGTCTCAAAGTTGGTATCTGAGTATTGTTCCCATCAGAATTGAATGTAATACCTTGTATTTATATAATCACTTACCCCGATGTGACTTCATAAATTTCAGCCACTTCAACATTCTCCAAAACCTAGAATTTGGGAACAACGTTTTTTTTTATAAAATGCTTATGGCAATTCACAATATCCATATGAATATAAAGCTGGACATTCACAATCTTTCCATCAATATAAGTAATATCAGTCCCAGTCTCCACATGAATAAAAGTGTGGCCATTAAAAAATGAATACAAATGTTGCCATTCACAATCTCCACATGCAAATGTTGCCATTCACAATCTCCACATGCAAATGTTGCCATTCACAATCTCCACATGCAAATGTTGCCATTCACAATCTCCACATGCAAATGTTGCCATTCACAATCTCCACATGCAAATGTTGCCATTCACAATCTCCACATGCAAATGTTGCCACTCGTAATCTCCACATACAAATGTGACCATAAAAATGCGGCAACTTGTAATCTCCACATACAAATGTGGCCACTCACAATCTCCACACACAAATGTTGCCACTTGCGATCTCCACATGCAAATATTGCCACTCGCAATCTTCACATGCAAATGTTGCCACTTGCGATCTCCACATGCAAATGTTGCCACTCGCAATCTCCACATGCAAATGTTGCCACTCGTAATCTCCACATACAAATGTGGCCATACAAATGTGGCTACTCGTAATCTCCACATACAAATGTGACCATAAAAATGCGGCAACTTGTAATCTCCACATACAAATGTGGCCACTCACAATCCCCACACACAAATGTGGCCACTCACAATCCCCACACACAAATGTTGCCACTTGCGATCTCCACATGCAAATGTTGCCATTCGCAATCTCCACATGCAAATGTTGCCATTCACAATCTCCACATGCAAATGTTGCCATTCACAATCTCCACATGCAAATGTTGCCACTCGTAATCTCCACATACAAATGTGACCATAAAAATGCGGCAACTTGTAATCTCCACATACAAATGTGGCCACTCACAATCTCCACACACAAATGTTGCCACTTGCGATCTCCACATGCAAATGTTGCCACTCGCAATCTTCACATGCAAATGTTGCCACTCGTAATCTCCACATACAAATGTGGCCATACAAATGTGGCTACTCGTAATCTCCACATACAAATGTGACCATAAAAATGCGGCAACTTGTAATCTCCACATACAAATGTGGCCATACAAATGCGGCTACTCGCAAACTCCACATACAAATGTGGAGTTTGCAATCTCTACATACAACTTTGTGTCTTGTACAATCTTCACATAAATACAAGTGCTTATCATACATTAGTTCTTGACACACAATTGAATGCGTTGTTAAATGAATGTACAACTTGCATCAGAAAAGTATAGTCTTGTTAGTTTCCTCTTCAACTTCTTTGCTTGTTTCTTTGCTTTCCGCATATTTAATACTGGTATACTCATACTTGGTGTTTGGATATTAGAACTAGCTACCATTAAAATCTCTCTGAAAAAAAAGAACAATATATATTTTGTATAATATTACCAGATATATTGAAGACACAAAATCTAAAGCAAATAAATGTCCTAATGTTTAAGAAATTCCAAGTAGATGCAAGTATGCAGGGTGAAATTAGTTTAAAAAAGCTGTTTAATTTTGAGTCACTTTGTCAAATATAAGACGCTCATATTAAATAAGCACTAAGCTACAATCTGAGTTTTGACAAACTCCAGTAATCTGAAAACAATTGTGAACAAATTTTTGTCAGTAGATAAGCCTACCGGATACTCATAATTTGAGAAAGTTTATAAAAGTGTTCATTGGTCGATAATTTGATATACAGTATATCATTTGCACAACAGGAATCAAAAACGTTTTAATACAGACAAAATAGCCGCCATTCACTGAAATATAACCACCATTTGCTTGAAAAATAGGGTAGTGTACCAAACTTTTTTCAAGTCAACATCTGTATATATTGGTTGGAAGTACAATTTACTGCAAAATGAATAAATTGTTGGTATTTTGATTTGTAATTTGGCTTAGTTCTATGCTAAATGCAATAAGATATTTACCTTAATCTTGGAATACCTAGAGTGACATTCATTTCACCTCTACCAGCAAAATGAAAGGTATTCAGTGTCATCTGAGTACTGGGCTCTCCAATAGACTATGAAAGAACAGTATAAATTCAACTCAATTCAACAAATTCAATTCAATGCAACAAATTTGATTGTTCAATTCAATTCAATAAATTTGATTGTACAATTCAATTCAACAAATTTGATTATTCCAAGGTCTTAATTTTCGTACCATAGAAGTGATTGATTCTGCAAAAGCCCTGTTAACAATTCAATTAATCACAGCAAGAGATATACAAATAAAAGAAAGCTTGGAAAGAACTCCTGTGTGCTGAAGAACTCCCATGTGCTGAAGATATTGGAGGAATACTGTATTTACTATATTAGAAGCACATCTTCATTACACATAAAAAGCATTGAATTTATTGAATGAAAAATGTCTTATTTTTACAGTAAGCACATGTGTTTCTAATAGAGCAAATGATTTAGGTTGGTTCCAAGTAGTATTGTTTAACAATTATTCATATTTAAAAGATCAGTACTTTGCATTATCCCAAAACATCTATGTACTAAGTTTTATTGAAATCTGCTTAATAGTGCAGGAGAAACCAGTAAAAATGCTTAAATTTGTTTAATTAATATGCAAATTAGGTAATGAATATGCACAAAGTTTCAACAAAAAATATAATCAGGTCTGCGCATTATCCTAGAGTATGTACCAAATTTGATTGAAATTTGTTTAGTAGTACATGAGAAACAAATGAAAATGATTGAATTTGGTTAATTAATAGGCTAATTAGGTAATTAATATGTACAGAATTTCAATCAAAAATTAATAAGATCTGAGCATTATCCTAGAGTATGTACGAAGCTTCATTGAATTCTGTTTAATAGTACATGAGAAACAAATGATAACTATTTCAGAGAAAGAAATGATTATTCAAATTCCTTCGACATTAGAACTCATAATACAAATGCCACAAATAATGCATGTGTAGATTACCATTTTATGATGACTGCCCTCAAAGTGAAGCCAATTTGATAACAGTTCAAAAATTGCTTATTAGACAGTAGCAATTGCATAAACTCATGTGACTGCAGATTGACCAATCATGTAACAGTATCAAATCATGTGACCACATATTGACCAATCAGAATGTGGACCATACCTGAGCTGCTAACAGTCCGACTGCTTCTCCAGGATGGCACAACGATGTCATGTACTTCAAATTCATCAATGTTCTGAATCTTTCGCTAGTCATGTGACCAGTGGTATCCAATAAACCGTGTGGATTCCTTGTAACATAGGACTCTGTCATATCGTAGAAACTGTCTGATGTCGAACCAAAGTTGACGTCAGGTCTGAGTTGACTGATAACAGGATCAGGACATGGTTTGCAGGACTTCAGATACCTTCAGACATTTGTGTAAAGATAGAACATAATATGTACACATTTGTATGATTTGAATACTCATCTCACTGTCCCCTGTAATCACCAGAAATGCTTTGGATTTTGTACAGTTCATGAGAACAACAGAATCCCCCAACAAATAAAAAAAAAAAAAAACGTTTTTAAAATAAAGTACATGTACAGTCTTTGTGTACTAGTAATTACAACAATGAGAATTATGTTTTATTCGGTGAACAGACACCATAACATTCAGTGCAGGCTAGTTTCAGTGCTCCAATATTTCAGAATTTGAGGCTATTTTTCAAGGTAATCACAATATGAGTTTTGGTGTTTTGCATAAAGTAGAAATAACATACCCAACTATAGATTTGTATATACAAGTTGTAAATGGAAATTTACAAGTCCAAGAAAACAAGCCAGACAATTGACATGAACTGTATGTATGAAGTGTATGTATGAACTCTATGGTGAAGTGATGTTTTAAAGAGTGTGAGTATATCCTGCTCCAAATGTAGCATCCGCGAAAAATGTGAACATGCAGATAATGAATGTTTCCTACTTGTCTTTATTGGTTAATTCATGCCACATTTTGACCAATGTTTCCTTTGTCTCAAGTTCATGTGTATTCTCATCTTGTACAGTAGCTTTAATCTCAGCCAATACTTTATCACCCTTTTTGTTACAGAAATGTACAAAAGGTTTGAGCAACTTTTTTCCTTCCTCTTCTCCAAACTTCTTACGCCACTTCTTGATCTGAAATAATAGGAAGAAACATTGAGTGATTTTAAAATCTTTAGTCATTTGTCACAGGGCTGTCAAAGTGAGATACTGTAGAATAATTTATTTTCGCTTGGAATTAATTTTCGCTATATTCATTGAAGGAATGATCCAGTGAAAATAAAATCCAGCGAATATATCTTTTTTCCTATATTTTACATTCAACTCATCAAAAATCAGTGAAAATAAATTCCTTACAAACACCCAAAAAGTCTTTTCAGCGAAAATGAATTCCAGCTAAAATAAAGTATTTTACAGTACACGATATGTTAAAACTTAATCTAGTGTTGTATGTTCTTTACCCTACTTTTCAAATGCACCAAGAAATATTTTGTACAAACCCGAGACATAATAGTACTCTGGCGAAATCAGTATACATCACGAGCATATTTCCAGCCCTAAAAAGTGAAATGTCAGAGTTCAAAGTGGAACTCAAATCACACCGAATATAAACATATCAAACAGCTTGCATACTACTCAAATGTCTTGCAGGTGCTGTGTGAGATTTCTGCTCAATCATGATATATGGTTAAACTCTCTATGGGAAATTTTTGGCAGTATGTGATGTCATTTTATATGTGATATCATTTTATATGTGATGTCATTTTGTATGTGATGTCATTTTGTATGTGATGTCATTTTATATGTGATGTCATTTTATATGTGATGTCATTTTATATGTGATGTCATTTTATATGTGATTTGCAGTTTTGATTTGTTCTATATATATCACACCTGATATGTATACAAACCAAAAACAAAAGTTGAGGATGAATTTCACTTCCCGATTGACTGCCCACAACATAAAGAAGCAAGAATAAGGTTATTTAAGGTAGCGAGAAGGGAAATTTTCACTTTTTTCTTGATTTTTCAAAAATTGATAAAACGGTTACTTTAGACCTTGATACATCACCCCAGGTTTACAAAAGATCGAAATTGCGAGATAACGTTGCTCAAATTAGTGTTATAAAACACTAGCAGAAAAGACTACAACTGCCGTTTCGTGGATATTTGCATAGTGTTTATCTTTGGAAGGAATTAAATGATAAAATCTTATCTGTATACTCTGTTGTTGACGATTCTGATATAACGGGTGATAAGCTTCCAGTTGCAAACAATGCGTGTTTATCTAACGTCCATTGTCAGCATTATTGTCAGTCGAGACTTCGTCGGAGAAACATGGTCATACAGTACTCATTTCGCCCAACCTTCCGCTTTTACATCGACCGCTTATCGCTTAATTTCCGACCACGCGGTCTTGTCCGACCGGAAACCGACCGCATTTTAATCGCGTTTTTTTTTTTTTCGCTCGCTCGCCCAAACACTGAAAACTGGCACATGGGTGGTCGAAATGGTGGTTTTGATAGTGAAGTGTGAACATACAACTAGTA